ACTGGTATTTATTACTTTATTTATTACTGATTACTGATTTTGACTTGTTTTTGTTGAGCGTGAGTGCTGACAAGCTATGGTAAGTATACCATGAAAAGCTGAGTTGGGATGAAATGGTGCCCCGGTAGCGTAACTGGTAGCGCACTTGCCCGGAAAGCGAGAGGTGCGGGTTCTAGTCCCGCCTGGGGCGAAAGTTTTGTTCACAACCCAGCATTCTTGTGAAACATTCGCAAGGCGAACTGCGGCCAAAAACAGCAGTTAACAAACAAAAACAAGTCAAAATCAGTAATCAGTAATAAATAAAGTAATAAATATCAGTAGTAAATAATTTTTAACGACCGTCGCCCTGCGTAATACTGATTCAGAATAGCAGCAGGTACGTGGTCTCAAAAGTCGATATCACATACTTTTTGTGGTGGTGACTATTTGTTGCCACATCTATGTAGAAATGCATTTACGACTCTCCTGGGTACATGAGGCAAAAGGTGCATAGGCAAGCGCTCCGTTCTGCTGTCTGGAGAACAATCCCTCTGCAACCATCGCCAACGCGTGGCAGTGGGAGAATGTTAATAGAGCACGTGCGGTTTTTCCGTGCTTGTAAACAGAGGGGGTGGGAAATCACTCTCCACTTCAAAACGGAATTAAATGCACTTTGCTAAAATCAAACCAAATGCTCTCAACTAAAAATTAAAGAGCACATTCCAATCTATCAAAAATACACAACAGCCTCTCTACACTGACGACTTCAGAAGAGTTTTCCACGGGAACATGGTGCACACTTCGAGCTTAACGAGGTGCCCGATAGATAGTAGACCATTAATTGAGCCGATAGCTAAGAAACAGGTCGCAAGGGGTCTCGCGAAGGCAAAGCGATAGTCTTTAGAAGCTATCCAACCACTCAAGCGATTGAAGAAAATGTGATTCAGAATTGAGCGATTACGGTAGACCTCTTTGAGCTCGACGGCGAGCAGATGAGGTCACATTCAGAAGACGGTGAGGGCAGGGGTTAGTGGGAGAGGGGACTCAATTGTTGGGGGGACAGGGGATTCAATACTGCTTGAAGAGGGACATCTATAGAATATTTTGCCGTAAAGCCTTCATCACCGGTTGCATCCTGTGCGACGAAAACCTTTCTGTTGAGCTATGTGCAAAGTGACTATTTTTTACCATCCCGTATAGGTGTCATTTACCCCGCCACCCACACACCGAGCAGATGAATTCCCACCACAGGGAAGAGAGGCTAATTATGAAATTTTATCGTTCAATATGTGTTCCTCCGAAATTCTAATTCAAAAAGTAAGAAGCACTTTAAGTTCTTTAACCCTTTGACTACTGGTGGGACACATGTGTCCCACTTCGTAGTCAAAGACACTACCACAGTTTCAGGGAATATTGAGGCAGGAGCGCTCATTTGATGGCTGAATTGTGCACATATAGAAGCTTTCTAATTCCTACTATGACAGTTAGTCGTCAGAAGCTAAAGCGAGTCATCCTGC